GGAAATAAGTATCCATATGACGTGTCGTCCTCTAATCGTTAATCGCCTACAATTACTGTTTACTTATCTCAACGTTCTGATTTCATGTCTTATAGTATTATAACTTTATATTTTTATTTTGGTAAAAACCCTGGTGATTTAAAATGTATTGGCAATACATTGGTTCTTCTCATCCGATTTGATTTAAGTAATTGCAATACATGTAAATTTAGAACCATTATTTTTACTGACGTTTATAAGTGAACTTTAAATTGCTTGATATCTCTATGATATCTAGATTTTGACTTATCTGTTTGGTTCCTAATAAATAAATAAGTTTTTTTTTTTTTTTTTTTAACTCTTCATCTATCTGCAATCAGCCTCTTGGCTTTTATCAGATTTTTAGGGGAAAGGTTGGCAATTAGGGAACGCAAATCCAATAATTTTTACTCCCTCCGTAATTTTTAAACTGTCAGATTGCGGCAAGTTTCGCCCTTTTTAGCCGATAGACACTGTCCGTCATTTCCAAGAGGCCCGAAGCTAGGGGGTTCACGTGTTGCTGAAGTCTCATTTTGTATCGCACGGTTGATCTTTTAATGTCTTCCTCGACAGTGGCAATTCCCAAATATTTATGGACTTCAGTATTTCGTGTTAACCACAGCGCACCGCTCATATTTCGCAGTGTTTTGCTTTGTAGCCGCTGCAGGATTTCGATATTAGAGCGGCTTGCTGACCCCCAGAGCTGTATCCCATAGAACCATATTGGTTTAATTACAGTTTTATAGATGAGGAGTTTATTGTCCAAACTGAGTGCCGCATTTCTGCCTAATAGCCAGTTCATGCTACGAAGCCTACCAATAGCATGCTCCTTCTTGGCTTTTATATGGTCTTGCCAAGTCAGGCGTCTGTCCAGGTGCATGCCCAAATATTTCGCTGTAGTCCGTTTTGGCAAAACAGCTCCCTCCAGAGTCACCGGTGAGCACTCTTCTCTTCTTAGTGTGAACGTAACATGAACTGATTTCGCTGGGCTTGCCCGTATCCTCCACTTCTTTAACCATAATCCTATTTTGTCCAGGCATTTTTGTAGTTTTGCGGATGCTTCGTTAGGATTTTTATTGCAGGAAAGGATTGCAGTGTCGTCTGCATAGGTTGCAATGACAACATCGTCCGTAACTGGTATGTCGGCTGTAAAGATTGTATAAAGGAATGGACCCAGCACTGAGCCCTGAGGCACTCCTGCTTCTATTTGGCAGATTGATGATAGATAATCCTCACATTTGACCCGGAACATACGGTTTTGCAAATAAGACTTTAGGAGAAGGTAGGCAGTATTTGGTAGGTTCAACTTTAGCTTACACAGGAGGCCCTTATGCCATACGCGATCAAAAGCCTGCTGTATATCGAGAAATACTGCTGAACAATACTCTTTTCTTTCTAGGGCTTGCCGTATTGTATGAGTAACACGATGTATTTGTTCCATTGTTCCATGTTGTGCACGAAACCCAAATTGGTGGTCAGGTATTACTTCTTGTTCTTTGAGTACTGGTTGAAGGCGAATAATGACTAGTTTCTCAAATACTTTTGATAGCAAGGGGAGAAGACTAATAGGCCTGTATGATGAAACTTCTGTTGGAGGTTTTCCAGGTTTTGGAACCATGTTTATAATGGACACCTTCCATAGTTTTGGGAAATATTGTAGTCTTAATATTGCGTTAAAGAGGATTGTTAACAGAACGATACCTTTTTTCGGTAGTTCTTTAAGTACTTCTGCGGTAATAAGATCGAAACCGGGTGCTTTTTTTTGTTTTAAATTATTAATAGTTTTTTTAATTCCGACGGTTTAACAAGTTTTAGTGGTAAAGACATTTGCTGATCACTATTTATGATTTCATCAAATTCGTCTTCGGTTTGCATTATGTCCGGTTCGTTAGGTGTAAATACATCCGTTAGAAAGTTGGCAAACAGCTCCGCTTTATCCTGTGGTTTTTGTGCCCATTCGCGATTAGCTTGTCTTAAAGGGGGCATGTGTTCTTTTGGCCTTTTTAATGATTTCGTCATCTTCCAGAGTGAATAATCGTCAGCTTTATATGGCGACAATGTCTGTAGTTTATCTTGCAATGTACGATTTTCATTTTCTTTGAGTAGTTCTTTTAAATCTTTTTGGGCTTTATTCAACGCTTTTTTATCTTGCCGATTCCTGCTGGTATGCCATTGTCGTCTTAGTCTTCTCTTCGCAGCAATAAGATATTTTATTTCCAACGGTATGTCCTGACTTTGTGTTTTAGGTTCTATATATGGGGTCGATAGCCATGCTGCTTTTTGTATAAGATTAGTAACTTGCCAAGCTGTGTCGTCTATGTCATTTTCACTTTTAAGGGGTATGCGTAGGTTAGCATTATCTTCAATGTATTCTCGAAAGGCTTCCCAGTCAGTTTTACGGTTGTATAAAGTCTCCCGTGGTTCTTTGTAAATAACTGTTGTGCTTAGTGTGCAGATAACTGGTGTGTGGTCTGAGGAGCCATCTAGACACGATTGGACTTTAGTGTAGAGCCCAGATATCCCTTTAGTGATGAAGAAGTCGATAAGATCTGGCATTTTTTTTCGGTCTGTTGGCCAATGGGTTGGTTCACCTGTTGATATTACACTAAGGTTATTACTATCAATAGATTTTTTCAGCTCCCGGCCTTTTGTTGTTGTTAGTCGTGAGCCCCAGAACGTGTGCTTAGAGTTCCAGTCTCCTCCTACAATGTATTTGCAGCCGAGCGTATGGAAAAAGTCATTATACATATGCTCATCTATCCGGTGTCTAGGTGGACAGTACACTGCAGCCACATTGAGTGATCCCTGCCAGTCATCTACAGCTATTATAGCGGCTTGTATGTGCGCATGTTTGAATGGTGGCAGGATATGATGTCTAATGTTTTCCTTAATTATAACAGCTGCCCCAGCATGAGATGTACCATCTGGATGATTAGCATAGTATACATTGTATCCTTTCATTTTTATTATTCTTTGGTCAATCATATGCGTTTCAGTGACCAGTAAAATATCTATCTTATTGTGATTTATAAAAACCTCGACTTCTTGCTTATTTGGGAGTAAGCCATTTATGTTCCATGTCGCGATACGTAGGAATTTCATTTTTGCTGTTGAGCTATTACTGTCGTTAGTAGACTCATAAGAGTCCCTATTTGTTGGATGAGGATGTCAATCTTTTCTGACTGTTTTATTATGATTTGCTCTAAAGAGCTCGTTGGCTGAGTTTGTCTATTCTCTATATTTCGATTCCAGCTACGAGTGTTTGCTGGGCTAGGCCCATTTTCCGGTATGTACGAATTGTTATTATCCTGGTTATTTGAGGATTGTAGTCTATTATACCTGGAGGGTTTTAATGGAGGGAAGTCACCTATTTGGGCTTCAAATGTATTGGTAGGCTTCTTATTTACAGGGACTTTTCCTTTTCCTGAGTTAGCCATTTTTCGAGCACGGATCTCCTTATACACTTGGCAGCCTTTATAATTAGCTGGATGTTCACCAAAGCAAAGAGTACAAGTAGCTGGTGTGTTTTTATCCTTTTTTGGGCAATCTGTAGTTTTATGCCCTTGTGCACATTTAACGCACCTATAGGGACGCATACAATTATTCTTAGTGTGACCATATTGTTGGCATCTGGTACATTGGGCTATTTCGGTAGACTTTCTTGGATCTTCTATTGTAACTCTAGTGTGGTAAATATATTGTATATTTTTTTATTTCAGGGTTATTGATACTGGGTTCTACGTTTACAAAGAACATATTTAAGGGCTTCTTATTTTTTCTAGATATGGCGTAAACTATTTCACCGCGTACCATGTTTCCTGTTTTTTCAATTTCTTCTATTATAGCTGATGGAGGGGTGGTATAATGCAGGTTTTTATAACAATCCTGTAGCATTTGTTCTGCTTCTGTGTGAATGTGTGACCAATAAGGCCATTGCTGCGGATAAGTTCTATCAAGTTTTTATATGTTTCAGTTGACTGCGCCATAACTCTTAGCTGATCTCTATTAATAACTTTATATGAGTAGCTTTCGTGGGGTATCGTCTTGTTTATAAGTTCTGTTAATTTAGATATATCTTCTATCCCATATAAGATTATAGGCGGTGGTTTGTAAATTTTTTTTGGCGTTAGTAGACGAGTCGTCTCTTTCCTTCTCGGTTAGATAGAGATAGAGATAAATAAATAAGTCACATATTTTTATAGACTTTATTATATAACAATATATAATTAGAACACTTTAAATATATTTAGTAACAATAATATAACCTTAACTAAAACAAAACTGAAATAAACTATTAAAAGAAACAATTTTTATAAAAATATAACTTTTGTGCTTAAATTGACAAAACTATAAGAAGCACATTGCGGTGTATCAGCGGAACAAAATATTGAAGTCGATACATTATTACAGAAAATGCTTTTTGTACGTTGAATAGAGCCCCATGAACCAATGAGACTTTGTATGTACTTATAACGATTTATATAGCGCATAATGCAAGATAAATAAAACACAAATGTGAGGTCACATAAACACCATTTTTAGCTTATACAATTATGAATTCAATATTAAATTGTTCATATTGATATGACACCAACAATATATGCAAGGGAATAGTTTCAAAGAACTGACAACTTACCCTAAACCGCGCCGTAAAACTTTCGTACAATCGTGAATATAAGTAGAGCCAATATTAAAATTTTATATACAATAAAATATATTGAACAATAAACGATTGATAAATAGTTTTTAACGAATACAGACGTGCCAAACTAACCCGCATCATATACCCTAGTAATATAGAGCACAATTTTGACAAGCAATGAAATGTCAAAGTATTGTCATTGATAATAGTAAGCTCTTTTATAAGAGACCCTTTAGATATGAACTTTCTCTATTCCCACAGGCTAACACACCCGATAGATACATTATTGAATTACATTTTAAAGTGCACAAATTTTGATGACCTCACACCTCATTCGTGCTTAAGCGTTAGCAACAGCTGGTATAAGCTGTGTATAGATATCGATGCCTTTAAGGAACACGTCTGCTGAAAGGAACTCGTCATGGTCGTGGAGTAAGACCGGCGTATTGTTCATGGGAGAGAATCCCAAGGCGGGTATACCGACCTCCCTCACGTATCGACTGTCAGTACCGCCCGGGAATATGCGGCAAGAAAGTTGGAGTTTCCTGGAATAATTATAATATGAAACATCACGTACTCATCGGTCTCTTTTCATCATAGCGTAAATACAATTTAAGAGAAAGATACAAAGCCGTTCGAGTGCAATGTGATTGTTGGAGACTGGTTTAATTTGTATAAATAGGTCATTTTATGAGCATGTTCCAGAACATGGAACGTATACCGGAGATCCGGAATACAATACCCGAAAATATTTTTATAAATCTCTAATTGCACTCTTAACTGAAGTACTCTTTCGTCACTTTCATTACATTATGTTTACACTGTAATGAAATACTATGCTAATATTTTGTCAACACTGTGCTATATATTGTATCAAATATTTTAGAAACAAATAGAGTCTATCTTCGTCAGCAATAAAGAAGCATTTTAAAGAAATATACACAAACTAGTAAAAATAGTTTAAATGTGAAAAAAGTGTGTGTGTGTCAGCTACGACGCACGATTGGAGTTTACTCCTTACGAACGATAAAATGGCGATAATGTTCTGTGGCTGTCGACCATATTTTCATACTAAAGGTGGTAAGAATATATGTTTTTATAATATAAATGTTTGTAGTCGGTAATAATAAAACGTATAGTGCTTTTCATGAAAGAAGTCCCGCGGTGATATTTGGAACTAAATTTGACAGGTCGGGCGTCGGCAATGTTGTCATTAGTCGATGTTATCAAGTTCGTTTGTTGTGGTAGATTTTTTAACTAGCTTAGTGCATTTTGAAGATTGATTACAATGCCAAAAGTTGTAAAATGTTCGGCTCGAGAAATTATATTAAAGGTGAAAGAGTTCTGTGAAGCGGAACATAAGAATCAAGATGTTTTAATACCACTAAACAATGTTCGGAAGAGAGTTGCCGCCATAACAGGTACTTTTTAAGAGTTGCCATTTAATTTTTTTTTGCTGTATTGATGGGACTTTTATGATATAAATTCGTTTTTGCGACAAAATTGAACAAACACATAACGTGATGAAACTAGGTAACTGAAATTAAAACATATATTACATAAGCATTATAAACTTAAAGTTACTATTATTTTTAAATGTTCATAATTTAATTGCAGGTGTGTCAGAGAAAACTGTAACAAGAATTACAAACGAAGGTATAACAGCGGCGTGTATTTCGAAAAAATTGTAACTCAACAATTATGCATTAAAACTCTAAATAAAAAATTGTATTGTTTTTCTTTACCCTATTTTCTTATCTTTTCCCTGTAAGTAGGTAGAACACCGCTAAAATAAGTAAATACAAATATACTTTTTACATAACAGAAATTTTGTTTCATCGAAGTATGCAAATAGTATTATTTGATAAATTACATCTGCTAAATGTAAATAAAGTAGGTAAATTTTTTACTCATAAATGGCAACATTACGTCATGCGATTGCAGCGCCGCGTCTGGGGGACTTCTTTCATGAAAAGGACTATACCTACAACATCTATGCCCAAATAGGATTTTCTTTCTGTGACCAAAGTTACCTTTATAGTAAGAGAAGAATAAGAATGAACAATCTTTTTAGTTTTAATTTCACTGACCATTACTATTGACAAAACTCTATGGCACGCTAGACAATCTACTTTTATTTTTTACACCTGTCAACACTGACAATGTTGTAACGTGGCTGTCAAAACGTGAATTCAAAATAGAAAAGTCTGTGTAATGTATTCCATCTCATTCTTTTACACGTTCAATCCTACAGATATATATGTTTGTCTCTTTCTACATAACGCCTCAACTTTTCGTGTTACACTTGATTTTACTCCTCATAAAATTTCCGTACCGGGCCTTATAACTCAAATCGTTTCTTAAGGAGTAAACTCTATATGTTTGTCTCTTTCTACATAACGCCTCAACTTTTCGTGTTACACTTGATTTTACTGCTCATAAAATTTCCGTACCGGGCCTTATAACTCAAATCGTTTCTTAAGGAGTAAGCTCCAAAAAAACTCTTATAATATGAGCGAATTGGTTGAACATTAGTAAACAATGTCGGTTTATCAGTTCTTCCTGGGGCTTGAGATATAATTACTTTTGTGGTGTGACCCACTAACGCTAAATAAATATGTATGGGAATGACATTAGTCACGTGATTTTTAAACAAATTCCTATGGCGTTAACGGGTCTCGCCTGTCGAAAAGTGATTTTGTCTCAAGACCCTTATAGTGTTAATTTAAAAGTCATAACTTACAATTTGTCAGCCGATTCTTTAAACGCCACCCAGAAAGGATTACTATCATCAAGTTTTGTGCATTCAACTGCAGGATTTTTCTGCTCAAACTCGTACGTCACACCGTCACCGGCTTCTTTGCACCATTGCTTTATCTACAATATTTATGAATCTATAGAACCTTGACGGCTTATTCATATTCATAAAAATTCAACAACTTGTCTCTTTCTTTCAGTTTGTGACAAATAGAGAGAGAGCTTTTGTAGGAACGTATTAAACATTGTAAAGAATAATTTAGTTTTTATAAGAGGGTTGTTTTTTGGCGATTGGTTTCTTGGTCAATACGTTTATGGTTTAGTTAGGACTGATTGAACATATTGACAAATAAATGCATTTTGACCATTTTATAAGGATATCATATCTAATGAACTTTAGTCTAATTCTAATGTTAAAGTAGTGCATAGGATTGGACTTGTTTTCAATGCGGCACAAGAAATAAATATCTGTTTTGGGACTAAAATAACCTTTCAATCCCTAAAGAATTAAATTGATTTGTATTTGGAATGTGGGTATTGTGAGGTATCACCAAAGAGATCACACAAACGTTGTACGTGGGTAACACTGAAAATGTTTAGAACTGGCCAGTTAGAAACATTGCTAATGAAAACTTTTTTTGAATTCAATTTTAGAACTCTTTGGTAACCTATGCCTTAACCCTACCAAGTACATTGCATTCAATTGTCATTTGTTTTTGTGAATTGGCGGCAAAATTAAAAAGTATTGGCAACTTTCTACATTAAGCCGTTTTTCATTTTCTAAACATTTTCAGTGTTACCTAGGTACAACGTTACTGGCTGTCAAAAATCCGCGCATAGCCCAAATAAAAACAAGTTTCTTTAAAAAACGCGCCAAACTCATTCTATCTTATGTGTTATTCTTTGTTCAAATTTGTATGTAAGATTTAATAATGTATGTTTGCTTTAAGTAATTGTAATGGAACAAAAGATAAAATTACTTCATGAGTTGCTCTTATTATCTTATAGATGATAAAAAGTAGTGTCCACTTCGGGAGCGCCCAATATTGTGGTTTTTTCGCGTTTTTTTAAGTTAAGTAGAATCTATATCAGAAAGAATCAAAAAAATATTTTACCGTATTCTCAAAAGCTTCGTGATCAACAGTGACGGCGAGGCGACAATCGAACACTATAGACAGCTTCTCGGGGATTACATTGGATTGGATGCCGCCCTGAAGAAGTAATTTTAGATGTAATTAATAAGTAAAAACAATTTTTTTTTAATATCCTAATACACATTAAAACACCTTTGAACAATCGCTTATTTCCACAGTATTATCTTCACTATTTACAGGTAATTGCAAGTTAATATAGGGTACATTCTTAGCTTACAAAAAACATACATAAACTACATTAACATTCAACGAAGAGCGGTTCGAATCGTCGACGACCAGTCACTTTCCGTGCGGCTTGATCCTTTGGCGTTGCGTAGAGATGTGGGGTCTCTCTGCATCTTCTACCGCATTTACCATGGAGAGTGTTCAGAGGAGTTGTTCGGTCTAATACCTGCAGCTGAGTTTCATCATCGAACGTCAAGGCAAAATACAAAATACCAACTGTATCACCTCGACATTACATTAAAAAAAAATTATAGTACTTTAATTACCCGGAATATTTTGATTAATTAATTTTACGCCATAAAACAGCGTATAAAAACTTAAGTAATTTGCTTAGATGGCAACACTTTGTATGACACTTGTGTTCTTGCTATTTATAATTGTACAGAATTATAAGTTATTTTATTTACTGCATAATCATTTATAATAACGTAATAAATTATTTTCATATCCATTTCAAAAAATATGAATTTTTACCAATTGTTGAAGTGAAAACTTCTTTAGCGGCGTTGTACACTTTTTTTGGAATGGGTAAAAAATATAAAACTCGGGTCAGGACACGTGACCTGATCGAAAATTCGTAAGACGGATGGAGAGTAGACAGCTGGCGCGGCGTATTTAATGTAATATAAATTGTCATGTTAGTGTGTTTTGATAGCGCAAGAAATAAATATTGTATTCTACCATATAAATGATAGTACTTTTATACTGATAATTAAAGCAATTCGTGCAAAATTATTCCCTAACTTCAAAAATTCAAGTTTTCACTTCTGCCGGCTGTTCCGGAGTGCAACCCGTCGTTTTTTAATAGTAATCTTAATTTTAAATCTTCTCCCTTTTTAAATTAGTGTCATTTGTCAAGCTTTAAAATTATTAGAACTCGTTTAGTCAGTCAAAGTTTGGTTTGTTAACAAACAAACGTGTGTCTTTATGGTATACCGAAGTTGTGTTATAAGTATTAAAGTGACAATATCACTTGAAAATTTGTGGTAAAGCGTGACCTTGTCTAGAGGAGTCATTCCCCAAGGACCTATAGAAGTTTGGAGACCTCGGGTCAACAAATAATTTTCCAGATTAAATGAACAATTTTTTATCTGGAATATTGTTTGTTTAGTCGAGAGCTATGCTTTCTGTTAATACGAACAATATAACCATGTTTATTCAAAGAATTACAGGTAAAGAAAAAACACGCGATTTTTTTTTATATATTTTTTTTCGAAGTCTTTTGTGGATTCCCCGAGGTTGTAGTCCCGGTTACCCTAAACCCTGCCCTACCGAACATCCTTCCCAATAATATCTTATTTTTTATCATGAATACATTATTTCTGATCAAGCCGTATTAAATAACTAAGGTTACTTACATGAACTTGAGTCAAGTTAACAGTAGTAACATCTCCGATGGTAAGTTTAGGATTGCTATCCAAAATATTTTTCTGCTCATCCCGAAGGGTCATGAACTTATTGATGATGAAGCGGAGCTGAAATAATTCAAATAAATACATCATGTATCTGAACTAATTGTCCGGACGTCATCATTCCTATTTAACTGGAATTTGTACCTAAACCCAGGACTTAAACCGTTTACACAAGTTTGTGTTACATACTAAAAATTTAGGGATCGTTCTGTTACTTCAATACTTTAATATTAAACAAAAGCAATTATTTTATTAAAATAAAAATTGTGATGATCTCCCAGGCGTCAGAAGTTCCCCCGGGTATAAACTCATTGTTAACGTTAACAAAATTAAGCGTTTTTCCTTATAAAAAGTGCAATAAAACAACGACTGTCCGGTAAATAAACTTCATGATGAAACGTATCAGGCAATGGCGGCCGATCATAATATACTTGCTTATAAAGACAACTTATCAGAACAAACCTGTGACTAAACCCATTTTATCGTTACAACTACGTTGTAATAAAAATATAAAAGGAAGTATTAAATTTGAACAATAATATTCATATTTTACCTTTTCACCAGCAGTGTTAGGAAATAACAGTGACGCGTGGCCTGGCTGACCGGTGCAGTGTACGTGAATTTCTGCAAATGAAATTATTATATTTTTTTATTGTTCCCAAAACCAAATAAATATCAAAACCTTTCTCATAATAAACTTTTTCAACAATTGGAAGAGATCGCTTACAGATCGTGAAAGCGATAAGGCCTGTTGCCCTCCTAATTATGTAGGTGCTTCAATGTTGTTACACTCCTTACAATACCAAAGCCAACATCAATAATATGTTAATTACCGTAACTAGACATGCCTTGGGTCTACCAAGTACGTGAAAATATAAAAAACACAAGAAACACGTTGCGTTCGATCGTGATTGCCGCTTGACAACGCGTATTTGACTAGATGATATTGACCAATCACAATGTTTTAAATGCCGCCATCGCACCCACTTAAATTGGTGTCCATGTGCTGCGATGACTGCCCTTTTTGGGCGTCCCGTAGGCTCGTATGCTGCCCTATCCTATAAAAAAAACGACGGGTTGCACTCCGGGAGTGCCGGCAGGAGTGAAAACTTGAATATTAACGTTGTGCATTTTTGATATTTTGGAATGGTTAGGGAATAATTTTGAACGAATTGCTTTAATTATCAGTATAAAAGTACTATCATTTATGTGGTAGAATACAATATTTATTTATTGCGCTATCGTACACAAACATGACAATTTATATTACATTAAATACGCCGCGCCAGCTGTCTACTCTCCATCCGTCTTACGAATTTTCGATCAGGTCACGTGTCCTGACGCGAGTTTAACATTTTTTTACCCATTCCAAAAAAGTGTACAACGCCGCTAAAGAAGTTTTCACTTCAAAAAATCGCAATCGAAGGGAATGCCTTCTTTCGTACATTCTCATCTTCCGGATAGAACTAATAAAATAATAGTGTTGTAATTTTCAATCCATTATTAGAGATTGAAAGAAGACGCGTAGCTGAGTGGTTTTGTAAAAAGACCTTGACGCCAAGGACAGCTATTGTGTCCTGACCAATGTCCAGTCTTATAACAATCTTCGGTGATATTTGTCGGTGGCATTGTCAAGTCAAAGACGTGTTGGAAGACAAAAGAGTCTTTACCTTATCAATTCAAATTCCTCGGTCAAATACAAACTATTTACGTAACTCAGTCATGTATCCGTATACCTACAGATTATAACACAAATTACCAGCAAATAGATATATTTAATATAACTAAAAAATGTTTATAAAATAATTTTAAAAACTCTGGTATCTTTTATTAATAATGGCTTTGTTATTCTTCCTTTATATTAAATATATATTATAATGATCAATGAATCTTAGAACTTTAGAATTTATTATAAATATATATTTACTTTGTTATACTTTTTGTACAAATAGGTAAAAAGGTAATTGTTTGTATATTGTTTAGTGAGTAGCTGTAGGAATACTGCCTTGCGATTCTGTAACTCACTTTTAAACAATAAATCCAAATGGAAAATCGCAAAATGACTGTTACACGACTGATTTGAGCGCGACCGCCGCTGCGAAAACCGCTCTGCGAGTTCGAAAAGTGAGTTACAGAATCGCAAGGCTGTTGAGCAAATAAATAAATTCCATTGGGATACGGGAGTCATAGAGCTATGTCTCGACTCTAAATCTTACCCGTTACATGTACGTTGTAAAACAAAGTATATTTCAGCCTAATTATAGAGGTTTTGAAATAGTTATAGAATCACATTTAAAATTCAAATTATCTTAAATATTACATAGATAACTTACGCCAAATGCTCCTTTCTCCGTAGAACAAGACAAACTCGTCGGTGGGACTAGCCATACCCTCGTCTAAGGCGAATGCAACATTCAGAGCTTTGAAATCTTTTGTATGCACAAACTTTTCCATTCCATCTACACCACCGATTTCCTCATCTGTGGCACAATAATAAAAGTATTATAGAAAAATTTAACCGTCTTTTAATATCGTTATTTACAGTATTATTTAGGTATCTAGACCTAAATAATATTGACACACGCCATCCAGCATCCGCGAGTTTACAACGACATCGTTTAGAACAACATACCGGTTATATTGACCAAAATCAAAGGTCCCGGCTGAATTCTATTGTACATATTAGGTACTTAATAACAACGTCATAGGCTGTTACGACTATCGGTTTTTACGACCAAATATGAGTAGTCCCTTCGATGTCGTTATATCGGATTTTGACTGTACGTAAATAGCAATTAGGTAGGAATATAACAAAGCAAAATAAAATAATAATAGTAAATAATTAACAATGCAAGATAGCTAAAGCGATGAAAGTTTCCTATGGAGTTGCTGAAAATGTGTGGGTGAAGAGTCATTTTTATAAGAGTTTTATTGTAAACCCGACACAATCTGTTAACAGGACCATTAAGCAATGAGCACAAACGTGAGACAGACGTATAAAATGGATATTTGTTTCCAGTCAAACGTGTACAGCAGTGGATAGGGATTTTAGCAAGCAATTCCGTATGAATATTATTATGCATTTTTCTTATAAAGTTATTTTTTAAAGGTTAAATCTGAAGACTCAATGAATACATATAGAGAATAAAAGGTTAATGTTAGGTGTGATAATAATTAAGGAATTAAATAATTAATTAAGGATAAAATATAATTTCAATCACGAATCAAAGTTCAAGCATGCCGAATTTAGATTAGACAATATAATATTATTTCGTTTATATTTTTGTCACTGTGATCGAGCATAAAACAGTCATATATCTGTAATTTTAAAATACTATATCGAAGATGACAAAGATGATAATGTACATGTATATAATCACCAGGGACGAAGGATAGATGAAGAGTCCTCTGCAGTTGAACACCAGCTTTTTTCAACTTCCTGACAGCCTCTATGTACTGAATTCCGACGCATTTCATATCCTGTGCGCCACGGGCGTATATTTTTCCATCTTTATCTATGTGCCCGCTGAATGGGGGATATGTCCAACTATCCTGTAGTATTTATTATTTAATTAGCTGTAATATATTCTTAATCATAACAACATAATGAACTGAAACTCATCACATACGTCTGAAGCGACTTTTGTTTTATTTTAATATCTTAGATTAAAATTCTTCAATACGAAATAAATAAATCCTTACCTCGAAGACCGGTACAACATCCATATGAGAGTTGAGTAAGACAGACCCCAGTGCAGGCTTCAGCCCCACCCAAGACAGCACTACAATCGGCTTTTTGGGTACCATTTCATACACCTTAAAACCTAACCCCAAACCTTGCGCCTGCTTCTCGAGGAAACTGACACATTCATCTAAAATAAACATTTACTATAATACCGTATGAAAATACCTATAATTTGGCTTGCATTAAAATGTGTAAGATTTGCATTCCAATATTACTTACTACACCCAAGTACAATAGATAGATAAATTTAAATTACACCGTAATTGGCCAAATATAAGATAACAAACAATCCTTTTATTTACTAAATTATTCTGCATAATCTATTCATGTTTTATTTGATGTGACATAGCAATAGTTATACGCATAATATTCTTATAGACGACATAATATACCTATTTTTTAACAGAAAGTCATTGTTTTGTAGTGTAGGGTATGTCACCTATGATACTTAATGTAGAATAAACAATGTTTCGGTTAAGCATTATAAATACTAACTCATTGCTTGCTTGACTTTACTTGCTTGAATTTGTGACTTTATTGCAACAGTGTATTACACTCGACTAGATCTCAACATATTTTTTTACGAAAACGACTACGTTACGTTTTATATAAAAAATCACGTCTTTCAGTAGTAATATAGTTCCTCCCAAATAAGGGCAACGTGTAAAACTAAACTACGTGAGGGACGACCAATCCATTTTTTACAAGGATTATTTTTTCCTTTTTTCAAAGCAGAGATTGTCATCAATGCAGATTCTCGATCCCAAAAAAATTGAATTAGAAGTCATTTTAGATTGAGTATAGAAAGCGGCCGTTAACCATCCTAAGACCTCCGATCCTTAATGGGTTTGAGATGTCCATAAATGTTTTCCAATACCGTACGATCACATTCAATTGGGGATATACCTAAACCACCCTTAATACCCGCTAGTCAATCACCGCTTTAGAGAGTTATTCATATCACGAACGTAATAAAATCGAAAGCAGGTCTGAAGTTTCGATACGCCATGGTAAAATTAGAAACAGTTAATGTTTGTTTTGACAAGTCACCTCAGTGATGCCAACTTGAGGTTTTCCTCCAATTTAGGGGTATCAAGATGTCTAGGGGGTTTTTAGGGGGTACTTTATTCAGGATTTTTTTAATAACGCAGATTCTATACAATTTATAAGGCTCACACCCAACCTACAAAATAAACTAAATATAATCTCCAGGCGAATTTAATAGGGAAATAGGGAAAAGCAATTTTTACAGCTTTTCGATATTATTATTATTATATAATATGTAATAATCTCCAAGATCGAAATATCAGCTTTTTTATCATATTTGAATGTATTTTTAATTCATTATTTAACCTCTTAAACCGAGTGTACAACAAAAGCTTTTGGGGTTTTTTAATCGATATTCAGGGGTATTCGAGGTTGTTCCTAGGAGGAACATTCTGTAGCAGTTGGCATCACTGTATCGCGAATTGTTTGCAGTAGGTATATGTTTTCAAATAGAAACCTCAAACACAGATATCAATATGACAGCAGCAATTTAAAGTTATCATTCAATTGAGATAACTGAGGGTACATCGTTAATCCTTTCCGACAGTTCTTATCACATCCTATTTATCTATCAGTTACGTGTAAGTCACGTTACTCTTAAACCAATGAAGTAGCTGTTTAAAAACTGCCTTCTAGGTTGAGTGTATTAGGTATAAGTTGGTATCGTAGGATTTATACTGAGTCAAAGAATAATTGTTTGGGATCAGAAGGCACAAGTTAATTACTGGCCTAATACAAATTATTTTTAAACTTTTCACTACTTTACAATAACGTGGTATATTATATTCCTGTTAATAGTAGAAATAATATTATTAAAAGAACAATACTATATATAATTCAAATTTTAAACGCAATTGTATCACTTAAATTTTCAATTTATAAATTAAAAATCTGGACACCTACCACAAGTTATTTCGTTAATAAAGGGGAATCATATTGGCATATATTATTTAATTAAAAAAACTTAACTTACCGTAATTAATATTAGGCTGAACACTTGGTATTCTTAAATATTCTATAAAGTTAGTGACGGCCGGATTGCTGCTGTAGTCAATGGACATTCTCTTAGCTGTAACAAACTCAATATTTATAAAACACGTCTTACGTCGAGTAAGGTGCGCATGCGACTAGTGTACTAATTGGTGAGTGTTTAAGTTTGCTAGTAAATAAAACTGTTTAGATATATTATGTTATCAATATTTAAATAAAGTAAGGAGTAAACAGTATTTTTTTGACAACAGTATTGTTTGATAAAGAAATTATTTATAAAGTAAAAGGTTTATGTGGTTTTGCTTGCAGAAAATAAATAATACAAATGATGTCCCGTTATAATAATGTAGATCAAGTGTGGTGAATAAAATATATAATATAAAAATTTATTAAAAAGAAAATTTTTTTTAATAAAAAGTTAATATTGAGTATGACGCAATTATCTTTTATTAAATGTTCTTTTATTTTTCGACATAGTTCCCATACAGTTTTATACACTTTGGACATCTTCTTTGTAATGCTAAAACTCCCTTTTAAAAAATACATGTACCACAGTGACTTCTGCGTCATCACCTTCAAATTTATGGTCGTATCTGTAGAATATGGAGGCGCGTGAACTCATTATTTTTCTTTCAAGTCTTGATTTACCATCTCAATAGTAAAAATTTCAAGCAGCTATATTATAGAGATGATATTATTTCAATTTTGCCCATTTTGAAGAACATGTTCCTACAAATTATTTCTATTTTTAAAAAAAACAAAGTAAATTGATTGCTTTTATTAAATTTACTTTTACACCACAAATGATTGTATTGAAATCTAATAAGAGATCTATTCCATACAATTGGTCCTGCGCTGTGATTATTATAATACTGAATATTTATAATCATATTTTTTTTCATCTTCACATACAAAAATATCATTAAAACATAAAATCAAGTATAGAAACAGGGATAAACATCACTTAAAAATTTACCCCCTTCCGAATCAGTCTAATTGCACTCATATAACAAAACCTAATTTTACGTCCCAGAGCCAGCAGTGTGTGAGGGAAGTAGCTTTAGATTTACATTTATTTATTAATAATGTTTGTACTTCACTAGAGATTTTGTTAAACATATACAATAACCTTAAAAGGTATTACTAGTATTATAAAAATTATTGTTGTTGGTACATAGTTTTTCACCTTTTTATGGTATATATACATATAGGCCTAAAAAAGAGAGGCAAGCGGTAGTCCAGAGATAGAGCACACTTAGAGAAACCCGAATAACCCCCATGCATCTTCTAGAATTTTTGTAGTTTAGGAGTTATATTTTTTTCTGTTTTTGGTGAATTACAGAAACACATTAATTAGAACTATATACTATACATATATATTTTAATTAAAAAAAATTATACATATCGTCGCTTAGCTAACAATACCGCACAAGTCATATTTTAGCCATGTGACGTTTTTTACACCATTCGATAGATTACTTTCCCGCGCGTCTAATGAGCTCTCGCTAGAGGTAATATCGTCCAATAAGAGCCCGTTACTCAAAAACTAGTAACACAACACAACTCATTGGCTGCGCTAACACCGCGCAAGTCAACATAACGCCATAGTAATGTGGCCGTGCCACGTCGAACCTCATAAGATCGTTTGTCGTTTTTAAAAAAGCGGATTTTTTTGTAACGGACTGGTCCCACTGATGTAGTTTAAAGGTAAGGTAACTTAAATAAAACATAGTATTAATATTTTATCTATTAAAATACTTCATACGATTGCAATTAAAAACATGAATACTTAAGCGGTGTTGTTGAGTTAGGCGGTTTTCTCTTTACTTGATTTCGATGTCTGAATGACTTACGCTGTACTTCTGTTTTGAGTTTCTGACCGCTGCGGTATTCATCGATATAATTAGCGATTTTACACTGTTTTTTTAATAATTACTATATCGTAATTATATTAGTAAACATTTATTTTACTTCAGAACACGAAAATGGACAAATTAAGCGATCATGATACCACGCCTGATGACTTTTCAAGAGTTGACTCTCAATGTAAAGTTATTACTTTACGTGACTTACAAAAGAGACGTCAAGTATTACTTGCCCAGAAGATGGTTATATTAAAAAAAAATCAAGTCGGGCAAGAGGTGAATATTGAAAAAGGCTTTTTATCGAGTGTTCCTGAAGCTACAAATTCAACGTCTATAATTAATTCCCATATTTTGCCTCGTGTTTATACAGCTCCTGAACCCACTAGTTCTGATCAAGAAATAGCTCAGTGTGATTCTTTCGCTATCAGTAACTCCCAGAAAGAATCATTCAGATTTAATCTTTACCAATTTTGAAATGGTTGGAAGTTGTATAGAAAACATTGAAAACAAGATACATCATTTACCGTATATGAATATGATAAATAACCAGTCAATTGTGAACGATAATAATTGTGATTTGATGAATATTTCTACTAGTGAACTAATAAACATTTCTTCAAATAATTTGATACTGACAGAAAATAATTCCAGAGCTAGTCCATTATTTTTACCTTCTCAGCCTGAAACTCCTATGGACGTATCTCTTAACGAAATGAATAAGGAATTAAACAAAACTTTAAGCCTAACCCCAGACGTTGATACTTGCAATGATCCTGAATATCATGGAGATCTAGCAACAAACAAGAAAAGGAAGAGCACAGTTAATAAAGATACGAAGAAATGGAAAAGAATTGTTAATCGAGATTTAAGAATGAAGGGACAGGAATACCTAGGATATAGACGAGAAAAAAAAGAAAACAATAAAAAAAGCAAAATACACCATGATGTCTTTAAGCCAGCTAGAACCATAAAACCGGCGTGTGATTCAACATTTTGCAGGAAATCAAAACTAAGAAATTGTAATCACATAGATGAAGACAAAAGGAAATACTTATTTGAAAATTTTTGGAAAACTATGTCTTGGGAGCAACGAAGGCTTTTTATATTATGCTCTCATGTGACAGCTTATGATAAAAAAACAAGTAAAAAATCCTGATTCCAACAGATCCAAAAGTCTTGCGTACTTTCTCACGATTGACAACGAACGTCACCAAGTGTGTAAAAAAATGTTATTAAATACATTGGGTATTAAAGAATGGTTTGTCCGATACTGGTTGAAAACGACAGATTGTGCTATGTCACCGCCTTCTGAGATTTCTCGGAATGTAGATTGCTCCAATTAGGAACTCTGATGGTCACGAGCGTCTACAGCGATTTTTAGATAGCCTGCCGAAGATGCCATCGCACTACTGTCGAGCAAATTCATCCAGACAATACCTAGAACCAGTATTTCAAACCATGGCACAATTATACAAAGAATATGTCAGTAAATGCGAATTAGATTCCTTAAAATGTCTTAGTCGTAGGGTTTTTGACAGTGTATTCTTAAAACAGAATCTTAGTTTCTTTCATCCCAAAAAAGATCAATGCGATGTATGCTGTGGACATAAAGTTGGAAATATTAACGATACTGAAATTGCAATACATCGCGATAGGAAAGACAAAGCTAGAAAAGAAAAAGACACTGACAAAGAATTGGCAATAGAAGGAAAAACGTGTCATGTATTTACGCAAGATGTTCAATCAGTAAAATTAGCTCCCTACCTTCAGGCTAGTGCCATATACTACAAGACAAAATTATCTGTTCACAATTTTACCATGTGCAATTTGTCAACACGTGAAGCTTGCTGCTACTGGTTCGATGAATCAAATGGCTCCCTTAAAGCTTCCGTTTTCGCATCGTGCATTGTGGATCAACTACAGATAATTTTAAAAAGAAAATTACTACCGGTAATATTGTATTCTGATGGCTGCTGTGCACAAAATCGAAATTCCATCTTAAGCAATGCTCTTCTGCGTTTATCCATCGATAAAAAAGTTATAATAACTCAAAAATTCATAGAAAAAGGTCACACGCAGATGGAATGCGACTCTGTGCACAGTGCCATCGAATGTAGATTAAAGGGAAAAGAAATTTACCTTCCTTCCCAGTATGCGAATATAACAAAGACCGCTAGAGATAACCCAATGCCATATGAGTCTCGATTATTAGAATTCTCCTTTTTTACCAATTTCAGTAAGGATTTAATTTACAAAACCATTCGTCCGGGCAGAAAATTCGGAGATCCCACTGTTACCGATTTAAGGGGATTAAAATATAAACCAGATGGAACTATTTGGTATAGCTTAAACTTTGACGAACCTTTGCAGCCGTTGCCTCAGCCTCCAATGAAAATTACCAATATAAAACCTTTAGAAGAGCTACCGAAAATATTTTCTGAAAGACTGCCAATTTCCCAAAGAAAATATAAGGATCTCCAAGATTTAAAGGCAGTGATACCTTCGAACTGCCACTCATATTATGATGAGTTACCTTATAAAAATTAAATATTTTTTCATTATTAAATCCATAAACATTTTTAATTATTTTTGTAAGTAGGTTAAGTATTCGAAGTGTTTTTATAGTCTTGAATTGTTTGTGTTAAATGTACCATTTTTATTAAAGTTTTTGAGAGTTTAGAATTATTAGAAGTCATGGAAAAAATTATATAAATTACAAAGCAAACCACCTCTGGTTTCCATTGTAACTTAGATAATTTTATTGATCTCAGTAGGTTAGTAGTTGATCTCGTCAAACTGTAGTCCTAAAAGTCAGTGAGTTCCTATAATATATTATAATATAAGCGAACCCGGCAAGGGTTGTCCTGTTGGAATAAGAAAATAAAATGGCAAAGAAATGTGATTTTTTTGATAAAATCTAATTTAGCAATCCTTTTTTATTTTATTGAAGTTATTAATTAGTTTTATAAAACTGTTTTTGAAAAATGTTCTTATTGCGATAGTTTTTCATAGAAATATTTTTGTTACAAGCTTAAAAATAAAAGGTAAAAACACTGCGTAAGTCGTTATTTTGTTAGAGTAAAACTGCTCAAGTCTTGAAAATGACCAATTAAGACGATATTTCTTTTATTTGTTTTTATAATTATCATGCTTAACTAAATACAATATATTACAATTTTTATCATGCATGTATTGTACAAAATGTAAAAGTAATACAGTTTTTTGTCTCTCCTGAAAACTAAGCAAATCTGACTTATGTGGTATTGTTAGCTAAGCGACGATATGCAATGTTACATAAATAAAATAAAAAATTTAAAGAATTATTATTATTTTAAATATTAATGTATTGTATAAATAATATGTTATTATTAAGGTTTTAACTTGAACAATGTTTGAGTATCTTTCTTCTGCAGTACAAATATCTGTATTGTCCCACAAAAGAAATCAATGTGCTATTACCCTATTAATATAATTAAAAAAAAAGCTTTGCTTTATTTTTGTCAATAAGGTCATCCAAGCTTAAAAGTTAAGAAGCAAATAATCCATCTGACACTTGAGATATCTGACACTAGAAAGTTTTTTCTTAGATTAGTCCTAATAATATATAATTATTATATTTAACAATTGACATAAATAGTATGTCTTTGCTTGTGGTTTAATGTACACTGGAAAACAGTTTAGGATGGTATGATTTACACATTTACTCACCTTTAGTTGCCATAATTGATTAATTATGTTCAACAAATCACAATCAATCTTATTAGTATGTTGTGCTGTAATCGCTTTTGGCAAGTTATTACTTTCCATGAACTTGTTCGGTGATAAAATAGAAATTGTCTGAAAAAAAAAATTATCAGCATTAATTTTCTGCCACTACACATTATCGTTTCGTATTTTCTTGCGATTTATAATGCACTTTATCTAAATATATGTGTTAATGGCTTAAGTACAACCATACCTGAGATATAATTTATCATTGCAATATGGTGGAATAATTATTAAAAGTATTTGTTATATTAGGTTCTCCTTACTGCAATGCACTACTTAATGCACTAGAAAAGTAGGGTCATTAGGTGACCTAGTTATGGAAGTCTGCAGTATAAATTTTAAAGTACGAGCACCAAGGAAACTAACCAATATACTTATTATTAAAATTTATTTTCCATATTCTCTAATAATAAATAATAAATTATAGAATTAATTATATATCACTAATTAATATTTCTAAACTACAGGAACTATAAATAAGTTAAGCAAATCATCAAAATTGTGTGCCTCATCATAAAACGTAAAATGTTTTTAAAATAAATTCATTGATAGTTAGTATTTGGTTGGTACTTGGTACGCGGTAGTGGGCGCCAGTCGCCACGGATATCTATAATGAATAATCCATTATCAAATATCATATAGGTATAGTACATAGTAGACGCTTTTACTTTGACAGTAAACATTGACATTATAGCCTTTAATGTCAATAAAACAACTAAGCGCGCGAATTTTAAATTATTTATTGTCATTACTATACCATGGAAATTAAGCCTTTCCCATTTAAGGGGTAAATGAATATCATTATCAACCATGGAAATTAAGAGACTGGCGAAAGTATGGACTCCTAACTACGTAAGACGTGTTTTCGAACTTTAAAACTACCAAAATTCTCCAATTATTACCAAGAACAAGACCTGCCTGTATGGGCTAAGGGTCCTTGCCTTTCCCATTAGGGATAAATTAATATCATCAACCATTATTAGACTTGTTCCACGCGTGTGTAGAAAGAAGACATTTCTTCTCTTCTTCTTTGGGTGCTGACCACATCGCTGTGTCCACCAATCAGCAATCTATTAAGTACTTTGACCGACTTTAAAACTTTTTCCTCAAAGCTTTATTTATGAAAAATCTATAACTTAATTTTAAACTCATTGCAATAAATTACTGACCTGTCATTTGAAAGATTTTATAAATAGATGGAAAAGAGAAACATGTTTTTTCGAAAGAAAAAAATTATAGTAATTGGGGCCATTAATTATATTTATAAATAATAATATGTACATAACTTCATAACATAATATATACAGGGTGTCCCAAAAGTCGACGTCAAGACGAAATTTTCTCATAGGTAATGCCACACCAGTTATCAGAAAAAAAAAAATAAGTCATGTATTTTTGAAGTTATGGATATTTTTTTGTTATTCCAGAAAATGCACACCATGTGACAGTTTTTTCATTCCTGTTGTTACAAATATTTACTTTTTGCCAATTTTTATTCTCTTACGTCATCCCGAATAGTGTTTTATGTAACCTATGATCCTAAACTCTGTGCTGATCACTCCAACTTTTAGGAAAATGTCATTTTATACCGTACCAAGTTTTCAAAATTAATTTTCGCACTACTTCAACTAATCGTCCTGAAAAAAAATGTATTACTCCAGTTTGGCAAGTAGCTTTAAAAGTTAGCGCATTAAATAAGGATTCTACAGTGGTATAACACTGAGTCCATTATTTCTTAGATCGGCCATAAGAATTTTTTTTTGTTAAACAAAGTCTGTTTTTAACAATCTCTTTGAAATTACAACAAATGATTCTAGCGCACCCAAAACGTTCCTAATGACCACAGCGTGGTTTAAATAAGATGGAGAGAGACATTCCATAAAATGTGAGCGAGACAGATAGTGACGCTTATGACATACGGACGCAAATAAGTAAAATATACAGTTTCTTTTTTATGATTAGATTTATTACTTTTTTTATAAAAGATGTTCAAATTGCCGTCCTTCAGCTGCAATACAGGCTCGACATCTCCTTAAAAAAGATCGTGAAATGAAGCGGGCAAATCGTCCATTACATAAACATTCCCCATAAATGAGGTGCATGTTAGCATATTCCTGTGTAGTGTACGTAGCCATGGTATGGTAAAAATACACAATAACACGTAAGTCCAGGGAAAAGTAAAGGTCGTCGTAGATCACAAATGTAAAATCCAAATCACAAGCAAACAAGTCCGTAAACGAAGCCAAAGTAGTTAGAACACAAAATAACACCAGCGAATACGAAAAGATGCGTAGTAAACGAAGGAGCGTTGCGTACTGACCTGTAGTGCGTGTGTCAATAGCAATAAGTAGCGTCACTATCTGTCTCGCTCACACTTTACGCCATCTTATTTAAACCACGCTGTGGTTATTAGGAATGATTTGGGTACACTAGAATCGTTTTTTGTAATTCCAGAGAAATTTTTAAAAACATACTTTGTTTAACAAAAAAAATTTTTTATGGCCGATCTAAGAAATATTGAAGTAAGTGTTACACCACGTTAGAATCCTTATTAAATGCGCGAACTTTTAAAGCTGCTTGCCAAACTGGAGTAGTACATTTTTTTTTTCAGGACGATCAGTTGAACTAGTGCGAAAAATTAATTTTGAAGACTTGGTACGGTATAAAATGACATTTTCCTACAAGTTGGAGTGATCGGCACAGGGTTTAGGATCATAGGTTACATAAAGCACTATTCGGGATGACGTAAGAGAAAAAAAATTGGCAAAAAGTAAATATTTGTAACAACAGGAATGAAAAAACTGTCACATGGTGTACATTTTCTGGATTAAAAGGAAAATTTCCATAACATCAAAAATACATGACTAAATTTTTTTTTAATTTTTCTGATAACTGGTGTGGCATTACCTATGAGAAAATTTCGCCTTATGGGACACCCTGTATATAAATCAATATAATATATTGCCACAGATCCGTCTCAGAAGTCATAAATCGTATACTGTTAACTGTGATAGAGACTAGAGAGTAGTGAGGTCCTTGGCCTAAATGTCTAGATACCAGGCCATAAACTCCAAAAAAAAATGAAGTAATGAGGTCCCACTTCCCAGTGACATTCAGAGAAGAGGTTATAATTTTGTTTTGATTTAACATTAACATATTATTTTTCATATTCGATCATACTAAACTAAATCTCATTTAATTAATTACGGAATATAATAGTATATCCAAAGGAAGGAAAAATTTAAACCTAAACATATTTATGAGAACCTGTCCATAATTTCTTAGGCGATGGCGTCTCTGCTTATTAATGCTTTAAAAAAAATTCATATTTCTACTCCTCAAATAAGATCTAGTTTCTTTTCATCATCAGCTGTATGTTCGAATACTTTAACTATTACAAAAAAAGATTGGAAATATCCCCCCTCAATTTACTAAGCCTCGGGAAGTATGGATCGAAAATATGGACACAGTAGAAGAGAAGAAATTGGGACTTTTTGAATTGCATCCTTTAGTGTATGCTGCAACACCTCGTATTGATATAATTCAACGCAATGTAACTTGGCAAAGGAAGTTTCGGTGGGTTTCATGGGCTCACACTAAAACTCGAGCGGAGGTTAGAGGTGGAGGCAAAAAGCCTTGGCCACAGAAAGGACTAGGAAGAGCGCGACATGGTTCAATTAGATCACCTTTGTTTCGTGGCGGTGGTGTCGCACATGGACCAAGAGCAGGAAAAACACACTTTTTCATGTTACCATTTCATTTGCGGATTCACGGCCTCACATCTACATTATCTGCAAAGTTGGCTCAAGATGACTTACATGTTGTTAAAGATTTAGAATTACCTTCCGATGAGCCAGAATACTTAATTGACCTTATTGAGTCAAGAAATTGGGGTCCATCTGTACTTATTGTTGATGAGTAAGTGTTAGTGATATATATATATTAGATTTTTTTCATTATTAACAAAAATATTTTTTTTCAGTACTGATTATGCACCAAGAAATTTAACAGTAGCAAGTGATAGTTTACCACATGTTAACATTATGCCAGTGTATGGTCTCAATGTTTATTCAATGTTGAAACATGATACACTCATACTGACTCAGTCTGCCGCTGAAAAGATTGAAGGAAGAATACTTCACCTCTTGCATTCTGATACTAAAAAGCAACAGGCTGAATTCAAACTTGATCAAGTATAATGTTTAATATAATGTAAATAAACAGTTTTAGTTTAGCAAGTTGTTTATCCTTTATTTAGGAAAGAACAAATTTTAAAAAGAAGTAAACAAACAACACATTTTTAATACACATTACAGGTATTCTATTATTTTTTAATAATAATATATTAAATCCAACAGTCAGGAAATAAATTAGGCAAATTTGTGATGTAAATCATTAATTAGAGCAAACAAATGTCATATGATTTTAGTTATTTATTGTCACTACATGTTACTTTTTATTGTTAATGCTCATTGGGTAAAACGTAAGGCATATCATACTGAAATCCTAGGTTCTACTCCTTTAAAATAATAATTGTTTTAGGTTGGTAGATTCATATCTACCATATTAGCCCATACTACTCATCACCAAAAAATACCTCTGTTATCGGAAATCAGAATTCAAACAAAAATATTGAGTATGATTTATTTGATATATATACATATTATAGAAAAATCATTAGTTGTAATAATAATAATCATTAGGTAATGCAATAACTTTTTTAATGATTATAAAGGTGAAGAATATTTTTATTTTAGCAACATTGTTTTGCTTCACATATACTGGACATAATGTGATAATTGTCTTTTTATTATAATAATGTTAATTATGTATCAGTCACCTATTGTTTTCTTTTCTGATATGTCTGTCTTCTTGAAATTTGTGGACAACCTAAAACAAAATGCAAAGATTATACTACGAGTTTTGAGATTTAGTCATTTTGTTTTAGTTTATTTAAAGTAGCTGTTTTGAAATTTTAATAATGTAGAATATGTATGTATATATAAAAATGTACTTATTTTAGTGTTTTGTTGTCAGAACAGTATCCTAATAATTATCTTTCCAATTGATTTTTAAAATGAATTGTACCATAGCACTTCATAACTTTTTTATAAAGAATTTTTCAATCAAATCTAATAAACACAAGGTTATTTGGTCCTAACACATAAGTTAGGACTAACAACTTACTTTACTACAAGGATGTGACTCCACTCCAACCATTTTCTGTCTAATCCTCCACCTTATTTCAGACCAGTTATTCTCTCCAGGTACATTGGGTTTATATTTTTCCCACAATGATGAATAGTAATGATACAAAGATACTGGGTCACATTTCTTTTTTGGCCTGGCTTTAGGAACTTTTATTACTGAAACAACAATTTTTTTAATACAAAAATAATAAAGATCAGTTTATAATAAATAAATCAAATTTACTTACAATTTTCAGATAAAGTAGTGGAAGGTTTAGAAGATTCTTTAACACTTCCAGGTTTCTTTTCTATCCTAACACATGAACATGATCTTTGTGCAGGTTTTTCTTCAACCTTTTGTCCCAAAGTTGGTGCGGATTGCACTAGTCTAACAGATAAATGCTTTCGAGGCCCTTCAAACCCTTTACGACAACATACATGTTTCCCGGTATAAGCTTTAGACCGGCTTCGTGAGGAAAAAGTACTAGCACTATGCAATCTTTCTGGACCTTCTTGCTTATCACTACCAAAAGGAGAAAGACTTTTATGTTGCAAATCATATTTAATAAGCTTTTTAAGATCTGAAATTTAAAAAAACTTTTACTACAATCTAAGTTGAAAGGTTAAAAAATTTATATGCACATGTGTTTGTTATTCCATACCCCATTTATTAAGAGTCACGCTCGCATACTTTATTAAAATATAGCAGATTAGCAAAGACAACTATATAAATAAAATATGTTTACCTGTTATAAAATATTTTAGAACTTCACCGCTTATATTATGTATACCTAAATAGTTCAAGTACCTCAGTATTTCTCGGGCATCTAAATGGGAAGTCATATCATTATAATCGTCCATTCTGGTAAATGTATAAAATCGGTAACAGTTTATTTCAATCGAATTAATATATGCCTAGTGCTTGCGTACTAATTGTGTACCAACTGTCAGAACTCTCTAAATGTTTATGACACTAAAATAAAACATCATTACAAAGTTTTAACACTAATACAATCTACAAAAGGCAATCTGATGGCTGAAAATATATTTAAAAAACGGTTAATTTACAGAGTGGGCAGTGCTGCCATCTCCTATAAAATATTCCCCCTAGAACTACTAACTAGGGATGCTCGATGGTCATCGATGTTGAAAGCAAAAACATTGATGTTGCTATACCAAAAATATCGTAACATCGATGTTAACTCACGGCCTCCCACACGACCAATGCCACTTACGAAACAAATTATGTCTTCTATGAACGCATCCATAAATCAGGTTTATTAAAATTTTGACCTCATATTCATTCTTTGCTTAGAGGTTCCCTTAATTCGTTCGTAGTCTCGCTCGCTCTTTCTCTCTCACACTTCCTCACTACTCTTTATCAACAGTTAAATATATTAAAAGTTTCTTCTTTATCAAAATTAATTTTCATTAAGTCAGTTGATAAAAAATATCGGAATATGTAAATTAATAATGCAAAAATCATCGTTGTTGGATAACGATGTTTGGTTTTCGAAAAATATCGAACATCGATGTTGGGCTTTCGATTATGACATCGATGTCAATATCGATGTTTTTCTAACATCGATCATCCCTACCTAGAATCAACTTCAAATACCCCTAAATATCGACTAAAACCCCTTAAAAATTTCATTCTACTCTCGGTTTGTGAAGATAACTATAAATATAAATTAAAATACCTACAAGTAGTATAAGATAGATGTTGTTAAGCGGGTGCCTTTACATATATATTAATTAATTACCTAATAATATGTATTAATTATTATTTTTCTTAACTGTTCTTCTTTTTTAATTTGGTTTTTCGTAACTTTCGTGGCTTACCCCCTTAGTATCACTCTCCAAAATCTCCTGGACACTCGATTCCTCCTAAATTTGGGGGGAACAACCCAAAGTTGGCATCACGGAGACTAGGAAGACTAAAACCTGTACCCTAGAATATCAATCAAACTTAAATCCAGCTTAAGCAACTGTCAAACCATTATTTCTGTTTGACATATTTGACAGCGCTCAAGACGAGTTTGTGACTTGAATGAATCGAAGGTAGAGACTCAAAATATGTTAGACTGATTTATAATATGTTATCTGTTCTACGTAAATATATCTACTTTTTGATTTCGTCTATGCTCAGTATTATGCGAAGGTGCGTTTTCCAATGGGGACCCGTAACGGTTTTATGTTATAAATGCAGTTTTATAGTCCTTGAGAAACTAAAACATAAGGTGCAAAAAATTTTGTTCTACGACCAAAACTGACAAAGTTATGGGCAAAATACCGAACAAGGTTTACTGACCGCGCGAATGCAAGCAATGACGTCACAATATCTCAACGCTTGCCGCCGAACCACAGCGCGCCCCGCGCTGTTTATTCTGTTCGCGATACTCGTCCAACACGGAGCGTAACGTCACCAGTTTATACCCAAACGATTAATAAGTGATTTGATTTGTTTAATATTAGAAGGTTTTATTATAATATAACAAATCACTGGTAGAAATAAGGTAGATATCGGTTTTGAGCAAGCGCAATCCAATAATCTACCTAAATGGTATTTGATTATCTTAGTAATCATTTAAACTACACAAGCGCTGAAATTCGTGGTTGGAAACTTCAGAGGTAAGCAAATCTCATTATCAACCTAATCAAAACAGCAGGATAATAAGTAGGTCAGGAATACAGGGTCGTATTCAGGCCCGGGAAAATTCCCAGTAAGGTTTATGGATATGAACATGTTACCGGGAATATTCTTCTCAATGTTTCTGGGTGCATTGCCAGTCGGAAATCTTATTGTTAGTTAGTTCCTAGTATTGTTAGTAGGCAACTGACATTGCCAGGCACATTGCTGGTAGGTAAGTAAGAAAAGTGCCCGACGAAATGATTCATTTCATTTCAATCTCATTGACTTGCGTATTGTTGTCGTCTAGTTTTGTCAGTGCAAATGAATATAAGAAACAAAGTAATCGGTAGGTATACTTTATTCGTTTACCTTAGATTGTTTGAACAAGTAATCCTAATGATATCGCTAATGTATAGATATAAACGATGCAGCTCATTTTATTGACTATAGAAGACTGTAGCAAAGCAGAAGAAGCAACATTATCGCAAGCTGATTCACCATTGTGAAGGGAACTAAGATACTGCAGAGTAACGGCGTCAAAAATTCACGAAACTGCAAACTGCAAGACTGATGGTGTTTTAGTTGAACAGATTTTCGGGGCATCCATACAGGAGACAGTCGCTATGGAAAGAGGAAAACGTCTGGAACCAGAAGTAAGAGCAGTGGTGGCTAATCTAAACGTATTGTAAAAATATTCGCAATGAGTTTTAAAAAAAAAGGCGTAAAATACGTCTAGCGGTTTTCGCGTGAAAAGCGTTCAACAGACAGACAAGAAATTCAAAAACAATATTTTTGGTTTCTATTGCGTGTATGGAGCTCTCATAACTCGATTATTCAAAAAAAATATTCAATGTATAGAATTCACTTTGGCTACAGTTTTATTACCTACAGATACATATTCCCCAAAGCGGGAATGTTCCCCTTTGTTCCGGCATTGGGAAATATTCCTGGGAACGGCACATTTCATTTAGTTGAGCCTCAGTACGACCCTGGGTTTTACCAGACTACTGAGGAAGGGTTATTAGAAACTTCACTACTTACACTTTTTATCATTTATTTATTCATTGAAATATACCTAGTACGACCCTGTATTTTTCTTTAACATTCGTACAAACAAGTTTTACTAAGATACTGTTTACCACATGAGTAATGTAAGGTGTACTGTCACCCCTCTTCATGACAGTACACCATTTTTTGCGCACTTTCAGGTCCCTTGGCACATTAAAAAAACAGTTTTTCAGGTGTACTAGTTGAAGTATTAGTACATTTCGGTACTATACAGTACTTATAATGCGGCATATTTTCACATAAAAACCACAAAACCACAACACGACCCGCGCAGATCGAGTAAACTTTAATAAATGAATGGCGGAGAGCGAGCGCAAGGGCGGTAGGGAAATCGTGACGTCACATGAGCATTTCGGCCGCGCCGCGGTCGGCTTGTGCAAAATGTGTAATATCTTCGCAACCAATTTACCGATTTCAATGATTTAAAAAGTATTGTACCTAATCGAGTAAAAGGAACACCATTATATAGATAATATATGCATTTTCCGACTTGTTACGGGGACCCATTACAGACCATTTTTCGACTCAGTGCCGCACAATGCCGCATAATGCTGAAGCTTAATTGGAACGTGAATTAGTTTTCAAATGCATCAGCAGAGTGCGCTAAGTCAGTGTTGACAAAAAAATGATCTGAATAGAGTTAGCAATCTCATTAATGTATAAATAATGTGGTAAACAATAATAATTGGTTGAAAACTTTTTACGCTTAATTTAATAATCAAATTATTTCATTAAATTTTTTTTACTGAAATAAGAGAAAACCTTTAAAGAATATAAGGTTTTAACAAGCTAAATTAACAGTAAAATATTTAGTTTCATGTAAGAAGTTTACATCATTTACGTTTTGAGTAATATTTTTTAATGATTTCTAAAAAAAAATATACTTTTTCAAAACCATTGCAATTTTTTCTAAAGTATAATCCTGTAAAGTAAATTTGTTTACAGATCCGAATTTTAAAATAAAATTGTATTCATATTTTAAATGTGGAATATAAAAAAGTAACTATTTATACCTTCATCCATACTAATATTTATTTTTTTAGCAGTTTGAAATAACTTTAATTATTTTCAAAATCTACGACGAAACGAAAGCCTTACAAATTTTTCAACAATAAATAATATTTACTAACGAAAATTTCGATAAATGCCAACTTAAAGAAAAATACTGGTCAATTTTCTGTCACTGTGTTGGTATTGTTTATTCGTTTTGAGAGTGCTCAATTGTGCGAAGCGTTGCTGTAGTTGGAACACTCAACGATGAGCATTATGCCGCAAAATGCGCTCTAGTGCTGTAATTGGAAAACGCACAAGAAGAACAACAACTTCATTGTAAAAAAATGCTTACACCAGCGCTCTAGTTAATGCCGTCGGTACTATCGTATGGCGCGACAATTTAAAATGGTATGCAAGTATAGAATTTTAAGGAAAATTTCATGTAGCGAAATAAAACAAGGAGTGTACATGTGTAACAGTTTTATTAAAACTACTATAATTAAATTAATTATGTTAATATCACAACACAAAAGCATCAATATCGCACAGTAAGTCTCTATCTCGTTAATATGTTGATATCACAACACAAAAACGTCAATTATGCACTGGAGTCTCTTCGTAATTGATGATTATGCAGCACAATTAGCTTTTTGCAGTAGCTCTCTTTTCAGCAAGAACTATTTACGTTAATTCAAACACTGAACTTTTGAAAATGAATCGGGTTGTAGAAAAGAAACAGCAAAACGATTTTGAGATTTTCACTTCACAACTTCATTATTTTGTACACAGTGCTACAATTAAAGAAAAACCTGAAGTCCCTTGAAAAAAAAAATAGTTAAAAAAGTTTTTTTACATTAGTTATGTACCCAGTGTAGCTTTATATTCTAATAAATTTAATAGATAGCCATTATTATAATAAAATAATATGTCTATAGTTACTGATTTTATTAACATTAATAACAAGAAAAAAAACAAATAAAAGTTTGCTAACCTTGAATAATTTTAACTAACAATATGGTAGATATTTATTCAGTCAGGTAATATTGATCTGGATATAGCTGATTGCGTCTTTTATAGAGCGCTATCCCATTTCCGCAGATAGTGCCATTGTTGGCATTGGCTGATACGAAAGCTGACGGACTGGGTATTGGCTGTTTTCAGTCTTACGTCTATGGCATTTTTAAAAATATCTGGATTCTGGTCTTAATTTTACGAAAATGAATAATAATTTATGTAGAATATGTTTGAAAAAAGGACTGTTGTCATCTATATTTTTAAAAAATTATAACAATATATACATCCGTGATATGGTACAAATTTGCAGCAATGTTATGGTTTGTAAATCTTAATTATTTAAGTTTCTTTATATTTTTAGAGTAGGATTATATTCAATTATGTAGAGTGAGTAGAAAGCATCAAATTTAATATATTTGTTGCATAGATAATTAACATTTATAAAACTTATAAATTTAAATTATAGCGATATACTTTAGTCAGTTTATATATGAAATATTACTTTCAGGTAGAACATAGTGATGGATTATCTGATCAAATTTGTAGTAACTGTATTTACAAATTGGAAATTGCATATCATTTTAAACAAACTAGTGAAAGCTCTGATTTACAAATGAGACAACATTTGGGACTAGAACTGTCAAGAAAGTATGATGGACTTTGTATAAATAATTTAATTTCTTTAAACAAAATCTTTAATTTATTTAATTTAATTTTATACATTGCAATTAATTTGTACAGAAGTTATTCACCAAACCTGTTAATGTATTTTTTTCCAGATATAAAGATGCCAGTATAATGACTGATCCAATGGTATGTAAATAAAACCACTAATTTCAACTTATTACTCACACCACAAAAGATGAGAGTTTATCAGTCACATAGACAGAGCTCTGGCAAATATTTTTAAGCAGGTAGTGAGAATGATGGTTGAGAATGAGACAGATGTTGAAATCTGCAAAACCTCATCTACTGAAGTTTGGTAGGGCTCACCTTTTGTGGTGGGTATTCTACTTATGATTTATGACAAACAAATTTGTTATTTTCAGGTTCTTCAGAAGACTACATTAATAAAGAGATGGTTAATAATGACTTTTTATAGTGAAACTATGAATCTCAGACATGTGTGGTAAAAACTATTGCACCTAATGAATACTCTATTTAACATTATTACAGTAATAAATGTAAGCCAGAGCAAAGGAAAAGGTGTCGAAGGAAACCAGACTCTGAAAAAATGCGACGTGGTCCGAAACCAAAACCAAAAAAAGTACACAAATGTTCTCAATGTCATAAAGAATTCAGATGTCAGACACAACTTGATATGCATGTTAGGTAAAGTGGTTTAATATTCAGCTGATTTTGTTTTTACCTGACGTTTTCATTTTAATTATAATATTTCAGAACACATACTGGGGATAAGCCATTTGGTTGTATGTTTTGCCCTAAACAATTTGCACAAAAACATAATCTCACAATACATTTACGTATACACACAGGGGAAAAACCATATCAATGTGAAATGTGCAGGTAACTACTATTCTTGGTTTCAACACTATAATATGTAAAATAGTAATATATAATCAAAACTGATAAACTTTAAAAAGTTTATTGTTTCAGTGCGTTAGTAAAAAATAAATTTTAACTTTTAGCAAAACATTCTCAACTCAAGGGAATTTATCTGTACACTTAAAAACACATACAGGTCAAAAGGATCATGTAAGTTCAGTAAATCCTCTTATTAGAATATAGATGTAGCAGTTTTACAAAAAAAAACAATTATTTAAATCTTGTCTAAATACCAATTTTTTTTTAAGATATGTGAAGTATGTAAAAAGGCATTTGTTACATCAAGTGAATTAAATAGACATATGACAAAACATACTGGTTTTAAAAAATTTAAATGTGATCTGTGTGATAAAGGTTTTACCCAAAAAAGAGAATTGGTAAGTTGTTTTATCTGTAAATGTTTTTTGCTAGTGGTTAGTATTAACTAATCAGGAGAAAACCTTATCACACCCGTATTTTGTCTCATTTACAGAGACTACACAAAATGAGAAAACATACAGTGTCTAATGAAGCAGATGATCAAAGGGATAACTTTAATACAATAGACATTGTTAATGTTGATGATGTTAAAATATTGCCATCAACATCTAAAGATTCCACACATTGTAAGAGTGATGTAAACTTAACCATCAAAAATCAAGGGTTATATTTATTTAGCCATTCAGTATTTGGACAAACTTTAACTTAAGTTCCATTAAGTTCAATAAACTTTGAGCATATAAATAAGTTAAGTAACAGTAGTAAAAAAAATTGTGTTTTAATGTTTTATAATTAAATTATAAAGATTAGTTTAACTAGAGTATGGAATAAGAAGCATGTTATAGTTTGTTTTATTTATTTTAACATTTATGCTAAACAATTATTAAATACACCACTAAATCTGTTTTGGTTTTTTTTTCACAATTATCTGATAGGCACCCAGGGTTCCAGGATATCTGCAATCTTCTTTCTTTCTATAGAAAATAAAATCGTGAATAAAAAAATAAAAACATTCTAAACTTTAAATGAGCAGTTTAATAACCATATTTTCTACCACCAGTATAAAATATTAAAGAAATCAGATGTCTTTCATAATAAATACATAACTTACCTGGTACAGGAAAATCTTCAGAGTGCAACTCAATGTAGTGTCTAAAAACGGCATCTTTTTCAGCTAAATAATCATCCCTGTACTTTTGCACGTATGTAAGTAAGCCACACCAGCCAACAGTTGCAATAATATGCTTTTGAATACCTAAAAGTATCAATTATAAAATTCAAATGCAAATTTTTGGATTTCTCACGTCTATACCACAAAGATTTGTTTTTATTATGTAATTGCTCACCACTCATAACAGGTCGACGAGTCCCAAAATTCATGAAAACTCCCGTGCCCAGGCCAAACGCAACTCCCATTATATAAGACCAATATTGATTTAAAAACGGTTTTTTTCTTCCTTCATCACCAAGTTTTAAAAGATCAATAGCTGAAAGCTGGCTGCTCATTTTATTAATATTTCAAGAATTTCTTGTTTAATAGATCTGGAAAGTGGAAAACAGAAAACAGTTTGTTAAGTGTTAACTATAACGAAATGGCTGTCATCTGTCATTGTTAGGAAGAGTTAAGAGAACAAGCTTAGACACTGCGACATATTAACAACTGCTTATATTCCTGATCTGTGCTGTTTACTTTTTGATCCTGTCGGTGACCAGTGATGCCAACTTGGGTGTTTTCCCGCCAAATTAAGGGGGAATGAAGTTGTCCAGGAGTACAATTATTAAAGAAATGTGTTTATTTGATTCTTAAAAAAAAATGCAAGATTCTCTATAATTTATATTAAGCTTCGAATCGAACTAACAAACTAAACTATGAATGAAGTGGCTATAATTGAAATATATAAAAATGATATAATACTCAAAGATCGAAATAACGTCTATTCAACTCTACTTGAATGTTTTTTTAATGCATATTCGAAATTACCTCTCAAATGAATGTATAACAAAAACTTTAAAACGGGATTTTAATCGATATTTAGGGTATTTAAAGTTGGTCCTAGGGGTAAATTTCTGTAGTTGGCATCACTGTACCGTCGGTAGTAGTGTGTGTAATTATTTTATATTTTTATTGAGAAATAAACAAAAAAGGGGTTATAAAACGTGTGAATTTTTATATCGGTACTAAATAATATTTTCTAATATGGTAAGTAAACCGCGATTGTTTACAATGGTCGGTAATAAAATAAAACACTCAAACATCAATTCGTTTTGTTGTAGGGCAAGCAAAAGAAAACTAGAAAGATAGTTGAAAAAAGATTTGCACAAATGAAGAAAATGATAAGCCCCAACGACAGTAGGATAAGGCCAAGTGAACGCAAAGGTTCGTCAAAAAAGAAACCGGACCCACATTCTTTAAAAATACGAGAAGTGCCACAATCGAGTTCAGCTTTATTCTTTCAATATAACACACAGCTTGGCCCTCCCTACCACATCATTATCGATACCAACTTTATTAATTTTTCTATTAAAAATAAGTTAGATATAGTACAAAATATGATGGACTGTTTGTATGCTAAATGTATTCCATACATTACCGATTGTGTATTGGGAGAACTAGAAAAACTTGGACGGAAATACAGAGTAGCCTTAAGAATAATCAAAGACCCTCGATTTGAAAGACTGGGTTGTTTACATAAAGGAACATATGCTGATGACTGTATTGTTCAAAGAGTTACACAACACAAATGTTATATTGTAGCTACTAATGATAAAGACTTAAAAAGACGATTAAGGAAAATACCTGGTGTACCAATCATGTTTGTTGCAGATCATAAATATACTATAGAGAGAATGCCTGATGCTTATGGGGCACCAAAAGGTGCAATTTAATTGTTTACTTGTCTAGAGATTAAAGAACTAAATTTTCTTTACTATTCAATATTTTCATTTAACCATTATTGGCTTGTCCAAGAGGTGGGCCAAGAGATATGTGTATTTTCCAGTGTCCACCCTAAAATGTATAATTGGTAACCCTGCATGGCCCTAGCTCCCTCTTCATTTACACTAATTTGTGCAGTTTACACAGAATCTTTAGATATAGTTTCCAGCTAAAACTATGGGAGTAAACTATATCTTTAAAAAAAATAAGCAAAGATGTTTTAATATAAAGTATTTATTCACATTTTAAGATACCCTTAGCAATAATGTGTAAGCCAGAAACATTACTACTGTATAGAAAAAAGAAAGTTCAATATTTCTTTTAATTTAATTTTTTATACTGTCACTAAAAAAATTTATCTATTTTCATGATAAGTTGATATAGACAATTGTTCAGAACCAGAAAACAATGTTTACTTTAAAATATTCAATATATTTTAAAGTTAACATTGTATCATGTATCCTAAATAGTGTTATTTAATGTACTTGGTGAGCCTACAACATCAATTATTTCACCAACAGGTTTTGATTCTCCATCAGTGTTGGTATTGCACAATGATGGTGGTATTGTCAGGGTCTAAAACAGAAATGTTTAAAAGGTTAAAAAATATAAGTATGGAAACAAGTTAAAAGTAAAATATCAAATTATGACAACTCATCCTTATTATTAACAAATTACAAAATGCTAAACCCGCCTAACATCAAATGTTACATAAATTAAAAATCTGATAGGACACTAAAGCTACCTAGTTTGATCTGCTAAAAACTTATCTCTAACTTGCAAAAACTTTGAAGTATTGTTTTTTAAACTTGATTTTAAACCTTGGTGCAAAATAATTAGGTATTGCTCACTTTTCCCGGATTTAGTGCTTCATACTGATGCCGCAGTGCTTGCAGTTCAAATTCACATGAGGCCAATGCATTTTTTAAATCCAGTACTAGGGCCAAATCAGACCGCAACTCATTGAAATGCTTACAAATGGCTTCTGTAGGTGTGGGTGCGATATCTGCAATTGTTTGAAGTATAGATTAGGCTTTTTTTGCTATATAATTTTTACATACTTAAATAAAAAATACATCATATTATGCAAAACTTTACATAATATAATTTGTTATTTTGTCCTTAACATGGAGCATGTGACCTAGAATATATATAGATATTATAATATATACCTATAGACATGAGACGCAATTCTTGTTCTAACGCTTTTGTCTTCCTCTGACCAATTCCAGGAGGTAACTTCATACGCTGAGAGCGTAGCCAAACGCCAGTACCACGAGCCTCGGGAAACTTTATGCCCGCCCATTCTACTGTCTGAAAATTTCGAATTATATAGGCCTTATAAAACTGAAGCACCTAGGTCACCACCACCTAGTATCTATATTTATAATTAAAACAAAAAGCATTATATTTCACCTAAAAATAGTTACAATTAGTTTGTTAGTTAAATCTTTATATTAGTATCAGAACCCTCTTTCAAGGTTATAGGAGAAGCCTTCCTTCTTATAAGGACCAGTTTTTTTTAGAAGATTAAAACATTGGATACATACTTGCTACATCATCATTTATTATAAGATATGCTTAGCCTGATAAGAATCATGATATTAAAAAACTGAAAAATGCTTAGTATAAAAATTTCAATAGTATTAATTATAAAAGTCAGATGACTATAATAAATTAAAACATACCACTGCTTCAACAGCGCGAACAGGTCTTTGTTGTGATGATATTTTTTTTTTATGTAACTTTCGGTCATGGCGCCTAGCTATACTAGATGCACTTGTCAGAGTATTGGCCCCATCATTAATGTTTGTTTGGATTATATTATTTCCACCACTGTCAGCCCGAGATATGAGTTTTTGGAGATCCTGTGTCTTTCTTTCTCTTTCCCGCTTTCTTGCCTCAATCTTCTTTACTTCAGTCAACAGCATCTGTTCTTCATCAATCTAAATCATAACAAAATTGAATGGTTTAAAGAGTCACTGAGCCACACTTCAAAATTATTATCTATTTTTACTTACTATGTCATAGAATAGTAACTTATTAATAAAATCCTATATATATTCTTATCAAAGATAATGTAAAGGTGGGCATTTAGTATTGGGGAACTTTGAAAGCACCTTATGTGATCTCACGAGGCCTTCAGAGTGATTGAGAGATCTTGTTCTCAGCATGAGATGTTAGTTAATCCATCAAAATCAAAACTGATCCTATTTACAAACCTCCTCCTATCCTGGACCTTACAGACTTTCCGAACTCTTCAACACAACTAAAACTCAAGGAGGTAATCAAATACTTAGGTGTCATTCAAGACAGCAAACTGCTCTGGAACTAACTCGAATACAAACTAAACCTTCTATCAATACAAAAATAGGCGTCAAAAGGGGTATATCTCCTAAAATAACGTTATGGCTATACACTGCCGTAATTAGGCCCATACTAACTTATGGAGGTTTTGTTTGTCCGCCGCCAGGGTTGAATAAAAACAACGCCAATAGCAGCGATGGAGATATCCCTGCAAATGGTATCTACATACAGCAGGAGGCAGCACTAGCTGCCGTCAGAATTATGCACCTAGGTCTATGGGGTAAATACCACTACACACAGCTTTTCTTAACAGGGCGATAGAGTATCAACCGCGCATAACCGCGCCATGTGATAGGTTCGCCAATCAACACATTTTCAGCAGGGAATATGTACAAATGAGAGAAGAGAAACATGATCAATCGACTATGAATGAGCTATGTATATAAACTGATGGAGCAAAAAAAGAGTTGTGGCTCCGGCGCTGGCATATTCTCTTGAACTTAACGTCATACCTACATACCTTTAGGCACACGCAGCTCGTTTATTCAATGTGAATGTGTTACTCTAACCGTAGCAGCCAGAGCCGTTGGAAATTAATAACTTCTGTATTAAATTCGTATTTGTCAGCGCGTCTGTGCTGATGGCGTTAGAAAACAAAAAGACGAACAAACTAATACTTGAGTGTCACACTGCACTGGAGGAAATAACCCTGACAAACAGGGTTACAGTGGGTCTCTCGGCAATGATGCCGTCTGGCCCGTATCCGCTCCTTCCCCTTGCACTTCTCGCAAGTGCGAACCTGGATCGCAAAAGATCTACAGAACTCCAACATCAGCGATGGTCGCGAAACGCGGACTGCAGACAGTCCAAAATGGATCTGCCAGCAGTTAATCTGCTAATAACAAAGCGACTCAGCCTCAACTAAACAATGATAGGGACAATTACGGGCCACTGTCTCCTTCATAAACATCTTTTTGTTCTAGGCGCGACATACAGGCCCTTGTGCAGAGGCTGTTTCAGCGCAGAGGAATCAGTCACCCACGTAGTCCTGCAATGTGTTGTGTGGCTGTTGCCAAGCAACGTACAGAAATCCTCGGAGCAGTGAGGTCGCTCCGTGAAGCCTGCGAAGTGCCCAGGAGACTTCTGTGCTTCTGGGCACTTCGCTAGGCTAGGCGAGCTTAGTTAGGATCTAATGAGCGTCTAAGTGCGGAAACTGAGTCCACCAATCATTACCATTACTTGAGTGTCACCATGCACGTGAGGCACTAACCCTGACTACCTGGTTACCCTACAGTGGTTCTTTCGGCTACGGACAATGACGCTGCCGATGAGCTTGCAAGGACGAAAAACAATCTGGCACTAGAATAAATGATTTATTACCAGATAAAATATCGGTTAATTATGGTTTTGTGAACTTAGTTTATTGCCTATATAAAAGTAATCATTTTAAACACATTAATTCTAAGATTAATCATACGATAATATTACATTTTCAAACTCTTGTAGATAAACTATTTTTTTCATGTAGTAGTTACATGAAGTTTTAACTTACTAGTTCATAGTTGATAGGTAAATTACAAATTATCAATATCAATGAATATGAGCTTCAAGTTTTTTCCAACAGGATTTTCAAAAGTTTGCATAGTAAGAAAGTTTTCTTAATTTTAATCTTACTTGTTCTTGGGTCCTTTCAAACAGTCTCTTCAACTGTTCCTTCCTCTTTCTTTCATGGTCTGCATCATAGTGGTACACTCTCTTTTCACCATTCACCATTGTGACTGTATTTGACCAGGGATTTGTTTTGACCTGTTAGTAAAAATCTCAGTGTAGAAGTTGCTGGATGGAATAATATATATATATTACTGTAAAATTCAATGGAAATTTGAGAATATGATATAATGATGGATAATGTACTGTAGTAATGACTGATTAATATTAGAGTGAAATTTACACTTTAAAATATGTAGGCGTATATATAAAGTAAATGATTGTTGTAAGTGTAATATCAATTTATTTTTAAATGACATACCTTACTCAAAATTGCACAAATGTTGTAATATCTTTCCTTTAAATCTTCAACACTTCTATCTCTAAAAGCAGCTTTGTCCCATCTATCATGAATAATAATGAAGCGGAGATCAAATCTTTGACACAAGTCCATTAAATGGTCAGTTTCAGCTTGACTCCAGTCTTCTGATTTCAAGTATTGATTATACTCTGATTCAGAGTATGATGGAATAGATACTTGCTGAAAAGGATGTAAATTTCATTGAGATTTTCATGTTTCCCAATTTTTAAAGAGAAGGTTGTAAAAAGAGCTGACAGAAATAAGTTGTGGTACCAATCAGGTAATATTTATTTAAAGTGGGGTGTTACACATAGTGTTTACTAGACCTTGTTGAATTGTGCAAAAGGATATTCTTTAGCTTCCTCTGCAGCTCTTTTCCAGTGATGAAATACAGCATTGTCTTTCCGAGCTGGGTTTGTAAACGGTGCCCAGGCCCACTTTCTAACTTTCCGCATACCAAGCTTAGCTTTATTTTGTTTGTATGCTTTACCTGGTGAAAAATGATAGGCGGTTAAGATTTAACAGATAAATATTCAATTTATATTGTACTAAACCAAGCAACTCCAGCTAGAATGGTTTGAAGAACCATATCCTTGTTGCTTATTTAAGTTGCTATCTTAAACATTCCTAAATACAAGCAGGATGTTTCTAAACCCAATCTGGATACTTACCAGTATCAGTAGGCAATAAAGGTGGCAATTCTTTGTTATCATTATACAGCAACGCAAACACTTCACGATGCATTCCCTCAGGCCTTCGGACTGCTTTTGCAGTAACATACTTTTTCTTATTTTTATCACCATGTATTATACTATCTTTAGTTATTTCAGATGCACTAGGCTGTTCTATATCTAATATATCTAGAATATCTGCCATTTTTCTTTAAAATTACAAACTTTCTGTTACATTTAATTTGTTTTAATCCTTTAACGAATTAATATTTTAATATAAAAGAAACTGCCTAAATTATTGAAAAGCTGCTATCTTAAGTGATAACTAATACTAACTACTAAAACACAGAGACAATTGTTTTTTTTTGAAAATACCAATTGGCATTTGAGAAATGACAACGGAGATTGATTGTTGACATTTCATTGACTAATCGCAACGATGTGACATATTCGAACCCTTTTGTTTTATCTGTATTTCTTATATTTACATCTGTCTAAATACATCATACAACATCCATATAATGAATGACTAGAAACCGCGTGGAATATTGATCTTTACTTTACAAATAATCAAAAACGAATGAGCAATCAGCAAAATGAAATAAAGTATAGTCCTTTTCATGAAAGAAGTCCCCCAGACGCGGCGCTGCAATCGCATAACGTAATGTTGCCATTTATGAGTAAAAAAATTACCTATTTTATTTACATTTAGCAGATGTAATTTATCAAATAATATTATTTTCTGCATACTTCGATGAAACAATATTTATGTTATGTAAAAAGTTTATTTTTATTTACTTATATTAGCGGTGTTCTACCTACTTACAGGGAAAAGATGAGAAAATAGGGTAAAGAAAAGCAATACAATTTTTTATTCAGAGTTTTATTGCATAATTGTTGGGTTACAATTTTTTTCAAAGTACACTCCGCTGTTATACCTTCGTTTGTAATTCTTGTTATAGTTTTCTCTGACACACCTGCAATTAAATTATGAACAATTAAAAATAATAGTAACTTTAAGTTTATAATGCTTATGTAATATGTAATATATGTTTTAATTTGAGTTACCTAGTTTCATCACGTTATGTATTTATTCAATTTTGTCGCAAAACCGAATTTATATCATAAAAGTCCCATCAATACAGCAAAAAATTATTAAATGGCAACTCTAAAAAGTACCTGTTATGGCGGCAACTCTCTTCCGAAGATTGTTTAGTGGTATTAAAACACCTTGATTCTTATGTTCCGCTTCACAGAACTCTTTCACCTTTAATATCATTTCTCGAGCCGAACTTTTTACATCTTTTGGCATTGTAATCAATCTTTAAAATGCACTAAGCTAGTTAAAAATTCACAAAAATCTGCCACAACAAACGAACTTGATAACATCGACGAATGACAACTTTGCCGACCTGTCAAATTTAGTTCCAAAAATCACCGCGGGACTTCTTTCATGAAAAGCACTATACATAAAATACTTGTTTATTTTTCTTTTCTATCTATCTGTCCGTACCAATCGGATTTCTGTTGATTTTGAAATTTGATCTGTGACGCGAGTTTGACTTATAAATGAAGCTTAGCTCGGGAGCAAAATAAAATAAAGGCTGTGTAGTGTGTAACTGTGTAGAAAAGCGCGGGAAACTTCGTTCATGGTAGACGTTTTATTTCACGGTGGTGAAAATTAATTTAAGTTAAAACGCAGAGGATACCTAGTTTTAATTTTTGTATTAGTAATCTTTATATCCTATTTGTATATAGTGTCATCGTGTAGTCGGTAAGTTTTTGTAATTTCTGTAAATATTGTATGAACGAGACCCCCGACCCAGGTCGGGGAGATGATTGCCATGTTTGCCTGAATCTCCCTGTGGGATCAATCATATCTATTGGTTCACAACATGAATTTGACAATATGGATACGGATTGTTCGTTAGTATCTCAGACAGGTGAAGTAAGTCGTAAACGAATACGTTATTTGCGCCTTTGTCGGCAGTGTACGAAAATTAAGAAAAAGAAAGGTAGTGGTTCTAGCGGTGATTACTGTCAGTGCGAAAGCTTATGCAATGTAAAAGATGAGTCAATTTTAATCAAAAAGGTTACTTCTAAACCTATATCTCAATCCACGTCATCTCCACACTCGCAAAATAATAATAATTCACATAACACATCCTTTCAACCATCAACATCTTACATGGAAAATTCAAATATCTCTCAAGACTAACGCGGGAAATTCAAACAACACCAAAGCTACAGTAATCAATACGGACTCCCATTCTATTGGCCGTACTGTATATGTTCCTACTGATGTTTCCCCTTATTTAATACATGTTCAACGTATACAAAGTTCCCCTGACGACGGGACCATTCTCCATCCTATAACATTTGGCAATTTTTTAAAGCAGAACAAATTATACAATTATAATAATATTATTCCCGGAAGTGTAAAGCGTATAGGAAGAAACAGGTGCGTAGTTGGCTTTTCCGATTATAAAGACGCCAATGCCCAATAATTTTCTTAACTGCAATCTTTCAGCGTAACACGAAAGGGTCTAGTTCGCGGGGTCCCTGAAGATTGTAGTGTAGAGGAAGTTCAACAAAATGTATCCGTACCTATAGGCTGCGGCAAAATACTTAAAATAAGAAATTTGAATCGCAAGGTGAAAATTAATGACTCGGTTTCTTGGAAACCCTCTGAATCAGTTGTAAAAACATTTGATGGGCAAGTTTTACTAAAAGGATTTTCATGTGCTATAATGCTCTTATAGTAGAGATATATATTTATCCTAAGATACAATGCTATAAATGCTGCCGTTATGGTCATACCAAAGTTCAATGCCGTTCTAAGACTCCAATAATATGTTATAAGTGTGGAGGTCAACATGCAGGTATATCATGTGACTGGTCAGATGAAGATCCTCTGTACTGTGTAATGTGTGAAGTCGAAGGGTCCCATTCAGCGATAGATAAGTCATGTCCAGAATTTGTGAGACAGACAGAAATCAAAGTTAAAATGGCTCAGAGCTGCATGTTTTATGTCGAAGCCAGTGAATATTTTCCTTCTGTTAAGCCTTTATACGCAGATGCATTAAGTTCAACAATTCCGGAAGTTCAAAAACCCGCATATTCTTCCGCAGCGAAGTCTGTATCTCGAAATAATTCTACTAATCCCTCATATAAAAAGACAGTATTCCTAAAACCTCGCTCTCCTTCTAAACCTCGACATGGTTATGATCGTGTAGCTCATAATAATGTATTAAAAGACTTCCAAATTCCAGAGCCTATTAATGAAAACTTCCCGTTTGCCTCTATTAATGAAAAAGTAAAATCAATTAATGTTATTAAAAATAATTGATTGCAAGATAATTCAATGGAATTGCAAGAGAGAATTGTTATTCCAAAGAAACATGATTAAATATATTTGATAAATAAACATTCTCCTGTTGTCGCGTTATCTGAGACGTGGTTGAAGCCAGGATACCTATTTAGGATCCCTGGATATACCTGCTTGCGTGATGATAGATTTGATGGCCATGGTGGCGTAGCATTACTTGTCAGAAACTCAATATTTTTTTTCTGAAATAGTGTTTTCTTCATTAATCTCTAATGATGCCATTAATATTGTCGGCATGAAAATTGATAATATTTCTTCGTATTGTTGATAGTAATATTTGCGAGAGTGGAGAAGATATTGGTGACCTTGACCATATTTTCTTTTCTTGTTCCCAATATGACCGCACCTCCTTTCTGAATTCCTTACAATTACTTCATGTTCCGTTTCCGACTAAAATCTCCTGCCTTTTGCTTAATCCTTTATTGTAATATAATGTATTATCTTCTTTCATAATCAATAATAATATTAAGATATTAATATTTTTGTGTACATATTTTGTTTTTAACCAGCGTATCCCTTTATTTCCTTGTAGTTTCCCAACCTTTTACTGGAAACTGGCATAAAGTTAAAACTATTGCCATAATATTTAAAAAAAATGGCTGTGTATAATTAATCGATATCAGGAAAAAAGACCTTCCAAATTTCAAGATATAATATTCTCCAAATTATTTACATCTTTTCTTTAAGTAATATGTAATTTGTTTTGAGTTGGAAACACTATTAGGTTTTTGTTTTATTGAAATGCGAAGAGGGGAAAGAAGAGACGCGCCTGTTATACTTGTATAGCTTATGTCCTTAGGACTTAGGAGGGTGTCTAAAAGATATCTCGCTGCTCTATAATTGTATTAACAAAGCATAGTGCTTTGGCAGCCACCGTCCACGTTTGTGTATCATGATCATTACAGAAAAAAGTCATAATTTAGTTAGGTCAATACACAACAGATGGTGCCATATATATTATACATTATTCTATTATAAATTAAAATATTAAGACATCATTGAGTTTTTTAAATTTCAAGACGCTTATTCACTGAACTGTTAGTCTTGAGTTTCAGTTTTACTTAGGTAAAAAAGAGTATAAAAAATGCATAATTTTTTGTTTAGATGTTCCACTTTTTTATTTTTTAGTTTCTTGTTTGGAAATTTTAAAGTAAAAAATTACGATAGTCGAGTTATCCTTTCCAGCATTTTCTTAGTTGCAACAGGATTATCCAAGAGTGTCTGGAAAAAAATATAAAAACTTTATCACATTCTATACTAATTTAAAGTAATTTTGCAGATTACATTGTTATATTGTTCGTCGTTTTATTCGTTTCAATTGATTTAGAGTTTGCGAGTCCACTAAGCGAGGATTGTTATGGACTATGTAACATCAGGCTATGACATATATATGCTACATTTATTACTTCCACGATATATAGGTATATCTGCCTAAAACTAATTAGCACATTTACTTAGTAAACTAATTAAGTAAGATTTTAATAATTAATCGTTAAATAGTTAAGTACCTACAATACATATTATTCATAAATTTATACACTTTCTAGTATTATATTAAATCGCGTGACTGCTCCAAGCAATATAATGTATGAGTTGTTATAAATAAATTATATATAAAGATTTTTTTTTAAATTGAGTGATGACTGCAAAAAAATCTAAAGCTGGGCAGCTAAATGAAGATTACGTTTCCATTAATTGCCTATGCAAAAGATAATTTTTAAGTTTAGCCAAAGTTGGATGACGAAGTGGAGGACTGACAAAAATGTATCATCAAAACCCCTCCAAATATATACTTACAGATTGTCCAGCAACGTTAA